CAGATGGGTGAGCTCGTCGGAGAGAGATACGGCGGGTTGGCGTTTTCCACGACACGCAGTCACTTCGGTGATCGCACTCCACGTCGGGGGGCCGCGCAAGCGGCTGCAGGGGGCCACCATCGCAGACGGGTGAGCTTCTCGGAGAGGCTCTTTATTAGGGACCAGCCACGATGAGCCTCCGGGTCTCCCGGCGCTCACTTCTGGCGTAGCAAACTGCAGAGGTTATAGCACATAGTTACCACCGTGCCAATAGACCATCTGACAACAACAACAACGATGCGGTGCAAAGCATTTGCAATGCCTTTGCCTGCTCGTGCACCTGCTACACCCTGAGACAGACAAAGCATCAGTTGGCGACAGAGTCAAACGTTATGCTGTGGTCCATGCGAGAAGAGAACAGATTGTCTATTTACTGGTTAGTGCAAGATCTCTGGTAGGTTGTTAACCACACTAGCAACGCTGGAGGGTCCAGGCATTGCCTACGGCTGGCAGCCTGGCTATGAAAGCCGGGCTGCCCTCTCGGTTCTGATATAAATATGTCGTAACATGCAGAAAGTTGGGCGCCTCGCACGGCCGTGTCAGCCCTGCAATGGAGACGTTTGATGAGCGCCCGCAATTGAAGCTGAATCCTTCCCCAAATCATGGCTTCACTGGCTTGCATCGGGATTTTCGCATTGTGAAAAACGCTGTTTACGCGGTGTTGCCAGAGCATTGTGATGATGACGGTCCCTGCGACCTCCCAAATCGTCCTCCAGGCCGTGGCGAATTGATCGATGTCGTCTGGGTATCTGACTAACAGCATTGCCGTGACCTGCGGCGAAATGCGTGGTACTCTACGGTTTGCGCAGTGCTCGAGCCAATCCAGTAGATGGTTAGGCTTATGAGGTGTGCTCTCCCAATGACTGATGAGCCGTGCCCAGATTGCCTGTGCACGGGGACATTCCCAAAAGAGATGCTCCTGGGTCTCCTTCTGTCCGACACATTCTCGATACGTGCAAGACCCGTCCGGAGGCCGGTCCTGATACCAAAAGTTTAACTGACCGGTAGCGTGGCGGTACCGTGTCCATAGCTGATATTCCGTCACCGCGTGTCCGTGACCCCATAGATGAGCTGGCGAGACAGCGAGAGCTGCGCGTAGCCAACGGTTATTCTGGCTCTTGGTGCCCAGTCTATCAATGACCTGCTTCAGCGGTGTCGCAAGACACCGCTTAGCCGACTTGAAAGCTTGCCGTTTCAGGAACGAGAAGACGCGGTGATTGGGAACCGTTAGCGGAGCGGACCATGGAAAGCGGTGGACCTGTGGGTTGGAAAAAAAGACGACCCCATTTCGGATGAGCCTGCGCTCCGCGAGTTGGGTGAGTTCCTGCGTTTTCCCTCGGACCCGCGGCGGTTCCCCGTCGAAAACCCAAGAAATGCCATTCTGGCATTGAATGAGCTCCCAACGCTGAGGGTGAATAGAATTGTCCGAGACAGAAGTGCCCCGAACCCTACCCGGCCCGACCGGCACCCATGTGATGGCTTGTGTGAATGGGGGCTGATGCCTTAGCCGGAGTGGGGCCGGGCCCCCCACCGGATTTCCTACATCAAGTGACGGCGACGAGAGTAAGACGATGATCGCCCATTCTCGAAGTTTGGCATGTGAATGGCGAAGGGCGAGGAGGTCCGTGCAAATACCGCCGAAGACATATTCCTGGGGTCCTGTCCGCTGGATATGGAGTTGTTCAAAGGAGACATCGCCGATCCTGTCATAATTGGACCATGACAACGCCGACGCCTGCGGGGTGAGAACCCAAGGGTTTCCACTCCACCGGAAAGTCTGCCAGAAGTCTTCGATCGCCTGGGGCCAAAACTCTACTGACTGAGGCCGACTGGGAAGGGGTTCAGAGAGATGCAGCACCCAGTCGTTTTCTTCCCACCAGCTGGTCGATGATGATCGAAGGGTCGGTAGATGGTCCTGTACCCGTGCGAGAATATCGTCCGTTTGCGCGGGTGTCGGCGTCAATGTGCATCCGAGCTCATAAAGTACATCCGGATACCGCTCGGAAGACGGCGATACAATGTGTTTCACGCTCGGTCGATGCGGGCTGATGACCGGGATGTGTGCACCATGCGTAACCCAGGACACCCACGCTGAGTGATAACCATCCTCTGGCCGAGTAAGTGCCAGTAGCGCGTGTTTCACCCGCTGGGTTTTGATGGCGACGGGGACAGAATCGAGGCCGATTCCGCCTGCCTTACGGGGAGCGTAAAGGAGGCCTGGAGCGACTTTGTGTCTCTCGGGTTCAATCCTGTTGGACGTCTTCCAGAGGAACTGTTTATAGAGATGATTTAGCTGTTTACGCGCCCAACCGGGGGGCTCGAAGACCGCTGCCGTGAACAAAATCCCGGGTAGAACTATCGCATTGAGTATAAGAACTCGGTGCTCGAGGGTCGTCGAAACTCGCGTTACAGTGAGGAGGCGACGCTGTGCATTTTTGATGCGGAGAGCCCAGTTAATGTTGCGTAACTTTCCTGTACCCACTTGATAGCCGAGATACCTCGTAGTTGTTGACGGGGCCACCACTGCGATCCCCTGATACGTAGGTTGACGGATAGCCGTGTTTAAAAATATGAGTTGTCTTTTTGTCGGTTGTACCTGCAACCCCGAAAGCCGCCCAAACTCCATAATGATTTCCATAGCCGGTCGGAGTAGACTGGCTTCTTGTAGAAACAGGGTTGAGTCGTCGACAAACCCCTAAAATATATGGGGCTGTGTGTGTACTCCTGGAAGTGTGAGCCCGTGAAGTTGGGGCGACGTTTGTATTGCAACGGCCAGCACCTCGACGACCACCAGGAAAAGAAGAGGAGCGAGGGGACAGCCCTGCCGAATGCCAGACAGTACCGGCCGAATTGATGAAAGCTCACCGTTGACCGAAAAACATGCCGTCGTGTTGGTATGAAGCCGTTGAATGAGCGCTAGAAAGTTCTCGTCAAACCCGAATATTCGGAGCGCCTCTACCATGAAATCGCGGTCGACCGTATCATAGGCCTTCCGAAAATCCAGTAAGACAATGGCACGGCTGGCGTCGGCGTCCAAAGCACACTCCTCACGTGCACTTTGGAGGTGAGCAAGCATCATTGAGACCGTCTTTTGCATTTGTCGTCCGTGAACAAAGCCTTGTTAAAAAAAACAGATGACATGTGGCAGGCACTTCTGCATACGCGTCGCCAAGACCTTCGCAATTACATTGTACCCCGTTTGCAACAGAGAAATCGGTCGATAGTCCATGGCGTCGTCGGAATCTCCTTTCTTACGTAGCGGGATGATGAGCGCCTCCATAAACGACTTGGGTGGTTGCGCACCTTGGATGATCTCGTTAGCTATCTCCACTAACGGCGGTACCAACAGCGACTGAAGATCCTTGTAAAAATCGTTCCCTAAGCCGTCGGTGCCGGGGGATTTATGCCGACTGAGAGCTCTGATTGCGAGTACCACCTCTGCCTCCGTTATAGCTGCCGTCAGGGCACGGTTTTCGGCGGTGGTGACTATGCGGTCAGAGGGGAGAGCGACGAAATGCCGCAGAGCCGTAAGCAGTTCTGCGACTGGGACTATACGGTGGCTCTTCCCCAGCACATGATCCCATTCAGAACTAAACTTGTCGGCGACGCTACAACCGACTAGGAACGGGTCACCGTGGAGTCTCCTGATGGCTGTAACACGTTGGTCACGCTCCCAGTCCGACACCCGTTTAAACTTCGCGCGAAGTTTCTCCGTTGTACGTTGGAGAGCCAAGCCAACCCGACAGATGTGAGACTCCTGTTGATCCTCGGTTTGGGCTTGGTGCCAGGCCTGGCGGGTAAGCAGTGGCCGTCGTGATCGCCGTCGCAGCCTGTCGATGTACCGTGTCCGCCGTTGCCTTAGCCTACGGGCGGTGGTTGCGATCCCCCGTCGGACGCGGCGAACGCCGTGATCCCAGGTCAAGACCGTGGATAACTCAGTAATGCCGCCGTTTGTGAGGCAATCGATGAGTTCAGCGACGGCGCCGGCCGGGTTTGCACAACGTATGGGGTACGCAACTTTACCGGGATGGCGATGCCAGTTCCGTTGCCCAGCAGAGATATGCAAGGTGACTTGCTGGTGATCAGAAGCCGATGGTGGAAGAATTGTTTCTAACCATTGCACTCGGTCCCCCCATGTGTGGGGTACGTAAAAACGATCAAGTCTGCTGGCTGCTGACCCCGCCCAATACGTGAAGTGGGTAGATGGCTCCCACTCCAGGTCGTCGTCCGGGTGAGGAACCAAATCCAGCGCATCGACTAGCTGACACATGTCAGCGAGCGAATCCAAAGCTGGGCTTTCAGTGCGACTAGCCGAACGTAACCCCAGCCGGTCGAGCGAGGGATGTTGGGCGCAGTTAAAATCCCCGGTTAGAATGACTGGGGCGACGGACCGCTGCACCGCTTTCAGACCCTCGAAAAACAATTCCCTTGCCGACCGTTCGTTTGGTGCATAAATGTTAACGAGCACGAAGTCGTCCTGGACAGATAACGCAATTTGTCTCGGCGTGGTCAGGAGGCCAGGCCATGGTTGTGCCGACTGGGCCATGTCCGGTGTCAGAAGAAAAGCCACCCCGCCGGCTTGGCGCGTCCCCAGACTCCAGTAAGAAAGAGGAAATGCTGGATCAACCGCGGATAGGCCCCAAAGCCGTCTCCATTCCCGATCTAATGCATCCGCTTCATCCTGAGAAGCGACGTGGGTTTCTTGGAGACACCAAATATGCGGTCGTGTTTTCCGTGGCGCATTCCTCCATGCTGCCATCCATATAGGACGAGATTGACCAGAAAAGCCGCGGACATTCTGCGTTAGTATCCGTTGAGTCGTAGCTGCTGAGAAATCCCGCCGAGAACGCGACAGAGGTCGGTGGAACTTCAATCTATCGTGCATGTAGAGACCATACGCATCAGCTCTGTCCCCGCCCAAAGTTGGAAGCGATGACTGAGCCGTGATCTGTGGGCTGCCCTTAGTAGTCAATGCCTTCGATCACCGTTGGCTTCTCGAAGGCGGATTCAAAAAAGCGCGCAATACTGGCCCAATCAGCCATTGTCCCGCCCCCCTTGTAACACGATTTATATTGCGCATCCCGTTTCAGGAGCTGGACATGGGCCTCCATGACTGATCGGGAGCCAGCCCCCGTATCCACCATCGATAAAAGCTCTCCAATTTCGACATGATACAGATGAGCGCACAAAATGTGATGACTGAATATGACCCGCCGAATTGGATCGCATAGCCGAAAAAGATCGTCATTCCCATATTTCTCGACCCGGATGCGTTTCCAATAGTCGGTGTTATCTCCGAGATTTCCGGCGACCTTCCGCCCTTTCAGAAATATGATCTGTTGCTTCCACTGATCTAGCCAAGCCCGCGTCGCTTTTACCGTACAATTTGTCCGGTAACGGGCTAGGCAGTCCTGCAAACAATCCCTTCGCCATATCTCTGTCCACTGAGCGATGACTGAATCTGCGAGAGAGTCGATAAGCTCACCGGGGAACCAAAATAATTGGACTTGATTGAGTAAAACAAGCGGTTCCGCCGCGGCCACCGCTGCCCATATAGCAGTTCCGCTCTCTACCAATGGACACTGGACGCTTGCCGTCGTCGGCCAGCGGACGCTTCCACGATTCCATTCAACGTGCCAATGCTGATTGGGGCCGCCCATAGGGTCGTTCGGCACTGCCAGATATTGAACCAGAGCGTACTCCTCCGGTTTTCCTTTCTTCAGCAGAACCCCGGTATGGATGTTTTTCAAGGCCACACCGTCCTGAATGCGGTCGTCCGGAGCGGGTACATGTGTACGCTTACGCAAGTGCCTCGCCTGGTCGCAAATTCTGGGAGGCTGCGTCACGACGTCAGTCGGCGCGAGAGAGGTATCGACATAGTTCCTATCAGTGGTAACCAATGCGTTGGCCGCATCAAACTCTACCAGCGCTAGCTGTTGTGGTCCACCACATACAGGGGCGAGGTCCTCAGTCTGGGAAGTGGAATACATTGGTTCATCTGCATCATGCCGAGACGGTTGGGCCACCATGAGGGCATCGTGATGGGTTGCGAACTCTTCCCTCGTTGCCGGGCTAGGAACGGCAGCCGAGTAATGCCGACCCCAAAAGCGGAGGACAATAGGAGTTGCTGCTGAGTCGATGATGTCCGCCCTGATGGCATCAAGGCACTGTAAAATGTCCATGGGTTGCTCCGTAAACGAAGCTATACTTTTCGCTTTAATGGATAGCACTTCTGGCCCAAACTGCCGGCAGCTCCAGGGGTTGGCGCGCGTATCTTCTAATTCGAGCACGTAAATGTTCCGACGGAGGAACATTGCCGCTAGTCCGATGATGTCATTACCTCCCCATGTATTGTCCGCGACGACCGCTGCTCGGTCGGAAGGACTGGATGCGTAGTCCTCTAAAAACCATTTGAGTTGGTTAAGGGATTCCCGCCGCGTCATGCTTGTCCAAGCACGTTTAACATGTTTAAGTATCGTCACCCGGATATCATGCGGTATGCCGTCCTCTATGTTTAAAAGTCCAACCTCCTTGATACCGGTTTTGAGGGTCGCCGTTAGCTGTCCAAGCTTCGACGTCGGCTCTGCGAGATCTTGCCCAGTTGCTCCTTGCACGATTGCCATGACAAGGCAATTGCCGGACGCCGGCGTTACTACCTCCCGCATCCCTAAGCTGTTTAACGCCTCTGCGAAAGTCTGTGGCACTTGCGTTAGCATTGGACCAGGGGGAGCCACCTCCGAGGGACCGGCGTAGCTGGCCTGCATTAATTTCGAAAGCGTAGCCCTAGATTTCGCCTGACGACTAAGCAGGTGATGCCCTTGGACTTGTGGAGGCTGACCCCGCGCCAGCCCTGCCGCACGAATTTGTTCCTCAGCTGGTAAGAGAAGCGGCTGCGCCGGAGAGACCGTGTCCCCGGTTACGACGCTAGGGACGCCCTCACTGCTTAACTCGGCGGGTAATAAGGCCGTTCGGGGTGTCGGTGTTGGGTGATTGCCGGATGCCTCGCTGACGAGCGCTCGAGGAGTGTCTTTTCCAATGCTTGTCAAGGTTTTGTTGGCGCGTCTCTGGAGAGACCGTCCCTTCTGAGCTCTGTGGGTAATCCACGGCTGTGGTTCCCTGGGTTCTGGTTGAAGCTCGACTCCGGGAGGTAAGATGCCTTCCTCCCGATCCACCGGTTTTGGTAGTCGCTGCGACTCTCTATCGGAGTCCTGTAGCCTGGAAGATGTAGGAGGAACAGGCGCCATATTATCCGGTGTGCTTAGCGACGCCTGGGCCAGGCGGTGGCCGGCAATACGGGCGCGCACCGTGTCTCGAAGTTCTTTAAGACTCGCGAAAGGACGTGCGGTATCGCCCAGACCGGCTATGTCCTGTTCCGCAACGACGATGGCTCCTGGCCCCCGAAGTTGTGCGTCAGAGAAACTGCAACGCGCAATTGGGTGCCCAATGTTATTGCACTGTAGACATTGAAATCGGCGCCCAACGTTGGGGTGAGATACGATTAAAATAGCGCCGAACAACATGATTCGGTTCACTCCCTGTAGAAAATTCGGGCAACCCGCCAACTGGAAAGTAAGTTTCCACACCGTCGACGTTCTTGACGTCGGCGTGCACGTATCCATATCTTCCACTTCAAATGGGGTTTGGATGTTAGTGCGAAGAAACGCCATAAGCTTACCAATGTCGTGAAACCGAGTCAAATTGCGGATGTATACCGTATACTCCGCCTGCCGCCGTATTTGATGCCCATCCGAACTGCGCTGTCGATCCCAAACAATTCCGTGGTGTGGCCGATGCGGATTGGTTAGCGAATAGCTTCCGCCCCGAAACGGGATAGCCACACGTTGATGTTTAACCGCCGTTTCTCTAGTGAAGAAAAAGAAATGGATGGACTTTGTCACCCTGTCGTAAACAATCTGTTTAGTCTGGCTTATCAGTGCATGAAGCGCTGGCAAGTTGACCCGAACTAATTCCGCCGATTCGAGTATCGCCGCGATGATGCCGTTAGTGCTATGCTGACATACCCGGATATAATGATGACGTTGTAACGTCATCACCAGCTCTCCCTCCACCTGTGCTTGGATCGTATTGAACAGCCGAATGCGTTCGGAACTGTCCATGATACTCTGCACGAACGACGGAAGTTTGCGACACGCTATAGACCCTTCCGCCAGGCCCTCAATAATTTTCCATTCTTCTGCGGTTCCATCCCGGTACTCAAGGTCATACGCCCCTTCGTAAGAAGCTTCGCACACTTGCGTCAGCTTCGCGACCTCTGCCGGATGGTACTTAGCCGGATTAAACATAAATCGCGTGTACGGGTGTCGCGAAGGAGCAGGAGAGCTTTCGGTAGCTGCCGGAGTGCCCTGTTTCACCTTAGCCGACCACTGATCCAAAACAGGAGCTTGCTTCCATTTAAGCCGGCTAACGTGCTTGCGAACGATCTCGAGAAACGCCCATTTCGTTGAATACAGATCCCTGATCACAGGTTGGAGCGTTCGATTCCACGCCTCCCCATCTTGGTTTCCACAGATGCAGGCGAGTTCAAATAGAGTAAGTAATCCTACGCGCTCTGCCCTGGTCAAGCGGGGGTAGCGTTGCCGCTCGATGGGTAACTTGGCCTTATAGACCGCAAATTGCTCCGATGCCGTTGTGTACAGCACTTGGATAGAGTGAAGCCATGAATCGATCGGACCCTCGCCGGGGTGGGCCTTCATCTCATCCGCTAAGGCGGCATGAAGATCGCTTTCATCATCCCCAAGAGGGGCCCCGGACCGGTCCGAAGTGACCCCTACGTTCTCCGAGGAAGAGTGCTCCCCCGGATCCAATCGATCAGCTCGTGAGGCACCTTCCGCGCCCGATGGGGTAACCGCGGTGGTACCCTTCCGGGATGCGCAGGGCGTCAAGCCAGGTCCGGCCGACAAAACATCAGACGGGTGGCTGGGAAGAGTCCGATCCCCGTCCATGTCCAATGTCGCATCATCGTGGGTCGTGTCCGGCGCAGCCACCTTACGGTCCCTGTCCGGCTGCGGAGACCCAGGAGGTACCCGAGTTGTCAGTGACGCTAGTGGGAGCGCAGGTCGTCCTGGATCGCCGCCAGACTCTTCCCGCCCTTTGTCAGGAGGAGGGTCGGTCATGGGAAGATACGCACGGGCAGTTGCCGAAGAAAGCCTGGTTTGGCTTAATGTCTCGTTTATACTCACCGCAGGCGGGTGCCTTCTGCAGCGCAGATTGGAGAGTGCTGTGGTCCATGCGGAAGGTGCTGCCGCAGCAGCTGCACGGCCGGCCTTCACAATCCGACCAAAAAAAGGTCAAATTAGACTATCGACGTATCATTGTCATGCACTCTCTACCCCTTTGGCGAGCTACGTGAAGACCACTTCTCTGCGTGCAGTAATCGTGCGATAGGTTCATCTTGAAGAACCTCGCGACAGAGTCTCGAACACAACTGACTGTTTACATCGCTGCTATCTAATCGTGCGCGAGCACGGCGAAGCTGGAGAAATTGTAATCGCAAGTGCTGAGCAGCTCAACACTCGGGGTTCAAGCTGCAGCAGGTGTCACGTCTAAAAGGCATACTTCGTTAGAGCTTAAAAAAGCAGCCATGCCTATCCAGAGAATTGTAGCTGCTTAGGAGCCGGCTCGACAGATCCAGCCTGCACCGCCGCTGCTGTTAGATTGTTTCCGCCTCTCTTCCGCCGCATTCGTCACCAGCTATTCAAAGACATACGGTTCGCACTATGTAACGGGGCGACCCTAATGTATACTATTTAAAATTTAGGAAGAATAAAAAACTGCCTTATTTTATGACGAAAAAAACAAATGCCCCATTTTATCACGAAATAAAAAAATGTCCCAGATAATTGGAGAATAAAAAACGCCCCAGATAATTAAAAATATAAAATGCTCCACGTCCTAGTACTATTCAGTTATTGTGACACACATAATATCAAATGTCCTTAATCATTTTTGTTTTCGCTTTCACGGCCGTGACCAACTCCTGCCGTGTTTGGGAACCCGCGGAGAGGGTTTTGCCGCGGGTGTGCTGCGCTTGCAGCCACCTGTTGCGTGCGTAGACGCGAAAAATGAGGACGTTAATGCGTCCTCGTATCATCGGTCGCGGCCGACAACACAGTTAAAGGTGCTAATGTCGTTGATCCTAATGTTATTGGTTTCGTAGAGGTTATATAAGTTGCTATATTTATGTTGCGGTTGTTGTTGCTTCTGCTTGTGTTGTTGTAGGGTGGTGCAGCTGCTGTTGTTGCTTCTATTGATGATGATGCTACTGCTGATACTGCTGTTCTTGTTGTTGTAGATGCTGTGGTTTCTATAGCCGATGCTATTGTCGATATTGCTGGTGCTATTGAAGCTGCAAGATTTAGTAGTTGCAGTCGATTAGGCGCGTGCACGATCGCCCGCATCACGCGCGTGCTTGTGCTCAATGAATGACATTGTACGTGTGTGTAGCTAGAATAAGGCAAGTATGGTGCTACTCCTACCGAGTTGCTTTTAAGACTAGTGACACGATTTACTATAAAGATGAAATTTGAGCAACTTGCACTCTAAATTGCCAGCACCTATTGTGAGGGGTTGAGTAGATTGCATCGTGCTCATCAAATTTGCGTTGAGAATCACCACAACCAGAAACAGAATTTGTATAGATGTGCTACATTTTGTATTTTAGGACGTGGGGCAATTTTTTTTTCCAATTATCTATGCATTTTTAGGAGATTTATAGGTGCACGCCCACCCTTTGATACGTACACATTCACCTGCAAAAGAAGCCCCTTCTGAAGTACAGTAACCTGTCCAACTAGGTATTGCACAGTAATACATACAAAATGCCATATCAATATTCTTTGCCTTGTGCACACCCCTCCCTAATCCATGCCTCTTTTGTGTCAGCAAATAGCCTTGCGTATGACTTCCGCTCTCATTATCCGGCACCCCCCCTATAAGTACCCATAATAATTCCACTTCCCCTATATTAGAGCCTTGTCGCACGTGAATACTCTACGCTGGAAATATTAAAAGGTGCTTACGGACCATTCCGCACCTCCTTTCTTTATCACGTCACGTTGGTTTAACTTCATTCGCATTGCAGTCGAGCGTACCGACGACGTTATAGTCGACTGTGCTCTAGAATCGACAACGCCTTCACTTGCGCCCCGTTCACTGTGCACGGTATGTACAGCATCGTGAGACGCGCAAATGCCTCAGGCATAACCTCGATAGCGATCTCCATAGTCTTCTGGACATTCGACGACCAAATACGACCGGCAATTTTTGCTTGTTCATCGGCGTCGAGCGGGTTAAGATCCAAAACTTCGATCTCTTGTTGATCCTCAAAAATTTCGTGATGCAGCTGCAATGTGCATTTGTATCAACGCCATGCGTACTGTATGCACAGACACGGTCGTCAACTGCAGTTGCCCTTTAATACTATTGTTGTCCACAGTCCACGTACCGACACATGCTAGGTCTGAAGCCTGAAGTGCTGTCGCTAGCTTAGATTCAGTGTGCTGCAATCATAGCAACAAAAAAACACCACAATAATCAGGCTGTACACCATGTTCAGCTTAGCGAACATCCGCACTTTCCATCGAACTTCAAACCGAAGCTGCATATTTTTGTCCATGATGTCAAGCAGAACTTCCGGCGAAGCAAATATTTGATCGACCGTTTAAAATCAGCCATGTTGACTCCATCTTAACACCGCGCGAGAGAACAATTTCGTACCGGAATCTCGTGCATCTTCATGCCCGGA